TTTTACTGTATTATTTTTGTACTGTATTATATTTTGCTTTAATTTTGTCACCACTTAAACTAAATTTTTATTAAAAGTTTCCAGAAACTGGTCTACCTTGAAACTTTACCTGTAACACACCATTCTACGAGTTGCAATTTAAATACTCCGTGCAAAAGATGACATACATCATGATTTCCTTTACATAAAGTTAACTAAAATAAAGAATACTTTTAAGGGACACATTAAAAATGTCACAAAATTATATAAAAACAAATGCCAGGAAATGAACTCAGCAGTTAGAATAATCATTTGCTTGGGTGGGGAAAAGAAGGGGAACATGGCAGGACCATGTGGTTAGATATAAATTATTATTAACATCCTGCGTTTTGTTTTAGGTGGTAATCTTAAAGGTGCTTATAACTAAAATTAAAAAAATAACTACTATTAGAATAAAAGCTAAGTAACTACATATATAAAAGCAGGTCATACAATATTCAGAGAATATAAAGTACCAGAGATAATTATGAATCCAAAGAGGAGAGAAAAAAAATTTAATTTTTAAAAGGCTCAATTTGGGAAGCATGAGCTTATGGTGTGACCTTCCTTGGCTCTTACCCTCCAAATGTATTTTTAACAATATTATTTTTTAAAGATTTTATTTATTTATTTGAGAGTGAGAGTGAGAGAGCACAAAGAGGGGAGTGTCAGACGAGAGGGAAAGGGAGAAGCAGGCTCCCCCCGCTGAGCAGAGAGCCCAATGTGGGGCTGGATCCCAGGAGCCCAGGATCATGACCTGAGCCAAAGGTAGACACTTACCAACTGAGCCACCCAGGCTCCCCATTTTCAACAAATTTAAATAAGGAGAAGAAAAATTATTTTCTGTTATTCTACTCTTATCCCAAGTGTCTCAATCATTCACATCCTTTTCCTCCTCCCCCCAGTGAGCTTTGAAATTGAAAAGGATTTTTTAATTGTCCTTAAAATTTTCTTCTTCAGGATCACTCATTCACTACCACCTTGCAATCTTCCCTGGTTCTCTTTTTATTCACTTGTCCAATCATTCATTCAATCAGTATTTAAGAGTTACAATGAGCCAGGTTCTATACCAGGTAAAAGCACCAGAGAAAGTAAATAGAGGTATAAATATGAGTTACTGGATCAGCTCTCAAGGAGCTTGCAATCTAGTCTAGGCAGATACCATTAATAAACACAATAAAAAGAGACAATAGAGGAACATGCAAAATTAGCACAAGGCAGGGAGGACTCCACAGATGTAAACTGAAACGGCACTTTGCTAGGAATACAAGTTGGTAAGGAGGAGGGAGGCTTAAAATAGAACAATAGCCTGTTCAGAGGGCCATGGGCAGCTGTACAGGGCCAGAGCACAGGATACAAAGGAATGTGATAAGAGACAAAGCTAGAAAGACAAGGCCTAAAAAAACAAAGAGGTCTGGATTTTAGCGGTTTGAAAACTCAGTCCCCTTCTTTCAGAAAGGGCTACCCATACAACTACAGAAACACAGGAATTCGTACCTTTTTTTGTGCCACTGACTTCTTATGGCAGACTGGTGAAGCCTACTGATCCATTCTCAGAATGTTTTTACATGCATAAAATATACAGGATTCCAAATAATTTTTTATAGACACTCCACCCTTAAGGTAGTGAAGCGTAAGTGTGGGCCGTACATAGTTACTTTCTTCTGGAACATGGTAAGGAAGCGGGGAAATTAAGCTTACAGTGGAAAATGATGATGACCCTACACTTCAGCCTGGTGATCAAGGTTACCAGTAGTGATAAGTCATGTTGACAGCATGTACTCTTGGTATGTAATGAAAATGGTACTTTACCTCTCTGGCAGTCTGACCATGAGAGAAACATCTGACAAATCTCAATTGGGGAACATTCCACAAAATATCTGACGAGTACTCTTCAAAATGGTCAGGGTCACCCAAAAAAGGAAAGTCTCAGAAATTGTCAAAAGCAAGGGGACCAAAGGAGACATGTTTAGGAAATGTAATCTAGTATATCCTGAATAGGATCCTAGAAAAGATAAAGGACACTAGAGAAAACTGAGGAAATCTCAATAAAGTATGGGCTTTACTTAAAATAATGTAGCCAACACTGGTGCAACTGTTGTGACAAATGCACCATGATACTGGAGGATGTTACCAACAGGGGAAACTGGGCATGGGGTATACAGGAACTCTCTGTACTGTATTTGCAATAATTCTGTACATTGAGAACACTGCTAAAATAAAACTTTCTTAAAAAACAAATAAGATGCGTGGGATTAGAAAGGAAAGGATTTACACTGGAAAATTATTTTTAAAAAAGCAAATTTGCAATGTAATATCTGTGCTTCTTTATTAATGCATTAAATAACAATATTTCCAGGCAGGCCTAGTTGTGGTAATTTCCATGATGGATGTAAACGGTATTTTAAGTTAGCTGCAAACGAATATATGAAATCACCTGAGACTGCTATAATGACAGTCAAATGTATTGCTAACACTTCTGTAGTTTATAGTCTACAGTCGAAACTGAAGATACGCTAAATCTCTTTTAGAGTTTAGTAAAAGTAAAGATGTAATTTGTTTTTTCCTATCCAAGTTCAAGACTACTCAACTCTACCCATGGACTGCAGGTTAAGAATCATCTTCTAGGGGTGCCTGGGTGGTTCAGTCAGTTAAACGTCTGCTTTCAGCTCAGGTCATAATCTGGGGGTACTGGGATTGAACCCCATGTCAGGCTCCCTGCTCAGCCGAGAGTCTGCTTCTCCCTCTCCCCTGCCCCTGTCTGTGCTCTCTCTCTCTCTCAAATAAAATAAATAAAATCTTAAAAAAAAAAAAAGAAAAGAAAAAATTCATCTTCTAAAGAAAAAGAGAAAAGAAGCACAGATGACCATTGAACAACATGGGTCTGAACTGCATGAGTCCACTTATATGAGGATTTTTAAAAATAAATATATGCACAGTATTATAAATGTATTTTCCTTATGATTTTCTTAACATTCTCTCTTCTCTAGTTTTACTTTATTGTAAGAGTACAGTACATAATACATATACAAAATACGCGTTCTGTTTATATTACGGATAAGGCTTCTGGTTAACAGTCGCTATCAGTAGTTTCTGAAGACTCAAAAGTTATCTGTGGATTTTCAACCACGTGGGAGGGGGTACTGGCACCCTTACCTGCCATGTTCAAGGGTTGACTGTACCAACACTAAATGGACACTCCACTGCAGGATCTCTAATAGTCAGGACACACACTTCATCTCATTAAACTCTTAAAACAAACCCATTCCACAGATAAGGCAGCAGGTCCAGATTTGAATCCTCAGTCTGTTGCTCAGCAGCTGTGTCATCTTTGACAAACCACTATAAACCACTTTAGGCTTGTATTTCCAAACTAGGTTTACATTTCAGTCATCATTGGCAATTGATGATAATAATAAGAGACCTTTATTATGTAAGGGTTATTATGAAAGAAAAAATGCTAGTAGCATTTTGGAGCAAAATGTCAAACATTATTCTTGCAATTTCTTTAATTTGGGGTTTTATTTTTAAGTTGTAAATTTTCTCTTAGAAATGTTCACAGAGGGTCTTTTGAAATATTTTTTTGTTAGTTTTAGCTGATTCTTTAAATAACAAGAGATTTGCTCTAGAGAAGGATTTTATCTTTCTTTGGAAGAAGCCAAAACCATCTCCATTTAAGGACACATAAGCAGCTGCCGCACCACATTTTAGTTACCCATAAGAAAGGGAAGCAGGCAGAGCTCACTCTACTATTTAAAAAAAAAAACAACAAAAAACAACCTAACAAATAGTTCCTCCAGAATTACAGCAGAGATTTAAAAATTAGAATTTGCAGGTGTGGTGATTTAGGTAAATGTAATATATAGTATAAACAAAAATCAGAGAAAACAGGAAAATGATGCCTACCTCTTTCCAAAGAATTCTTTTCCCAGTTCTAATCTTACAGATAAACTGTTCTAGTAAGTTCAAATACCATCCCACTTACTAAAATTTCATCTGTATAGTAATTTTCATGAAAACAATTGCTGCATTATATGAGGCAATCCTTTTAGAAATATTACACACCTTAAATGTCTAACGAAAGGCACAACTATTTTCAAGAAAGCATCATAAATAACTAGAATGCCACTGATTAGGAATCTGTGATTATTTCATTTTTACTATAAAGTTAACTCTTGATACTGCCTCTGCTTATTAAAATTTTAGTAAGATTTTACGGTAGTTTATTGCAGCTGTTAAAAAATCTTAAATACTGAAATTTGTAAATTGCAACTTTTCTTGGAGTAATATGTAACACTTTAAACATGATAATTATTGTTCATAAATATATTGTTAAAGCTCTACCTGAAGAAAACACAAACTAATTAAATACATGTATTAGCTCTTACTTTATATGATAAAGTTAATTTTTTAAACTGAAATCAGTTAGTAGCCTGGTTTTCTCACACACACCCCTCCCCATATACATAGTGGTATGCAGAAAGAGAACAAGACAGTAAAAGGTATTAAACATGATTCTGTGAAAATGTTTAACTACTGTATTGTTAGGAGCTAACACTATGAAACTGCAGTGCTAAAGCAACAGGAGCGACACAGTGCAAGTTGTTTGACTTAAGCCAGTAATATTCTTACTCATTAAAATTCCTATATAATTATTTTAGTTCTTCAACATTATCACTATCAGTACACAATTATTGCTAAGCCCCAAGATACATGAATCTTTAAAGGGAGCTTTCTACTACCCCGAACTTTTTTTATTTCATTTATCTCCCATATACTTTAAAAAATTACAAGTAAAAAATGTGACACAAAGTGTTAATGACCTTTCCATACTTGAAGTAAAATAAGTGACATTCTAAAAAGTTTGGTTGTGATAAGACTATGGCTAACCAATCATAACTTCAGAATTCTTGTGTGACATCACTAAGACCGCCCTAGAGCACTTTTTCTCCTACACCTACTTCAATTGTTGCCATAAGTCTGGTAACAGAGTCAGAAAACTTTCCAACTAAACACCGATAAGACTTCATACAACTCACAATACTCTATATTGTAATCATCACAACAGCCAAGGTAAGAAATAGATTTCACTGATTTTGGTAATTCTTGTTTTCTATAAATCAAAATTGCTGAACTTTTTCAAGAGTTAATCATGTTTTGTAAATTTCAGTTCCAAGTTAAACAATAAAATGTTTGATATGACAAAAACCTTAATTTCTAAACAAATGCGTATCTGTTCAGTGATAGTAAGACTAAGACTTAACTTTGAAATAATAAAGGTCATATCATCTTTGACCTTGGTTATTGGTTTGTCATTTTAATTTGACTTTCATTTTTATTTTGCTTTTCAAAAGCAGATTTCTGTCAATTAAAATATCTTTCAATTATGTTACCATATTTTGTGGTAATGGAGATTTTATTTCTTCAAGCAAAAACAATGGCTTCATCTCATTATCTGTTAACTGTGCTGAGAAATACGGTAGGACTGGGCTTCCAGTTACCTCTGTGATTCTATCAGCAGTCGTGTGACTGCACAACATGCACACTGCTAGCATGACTATTCCAACATCATCATTATGATTCTTGACATCAAGTAATACACAAACTACTCTTAAAATGCATTTGGAGACTTTTTCACTCTATAAAGTCCACTCAACTTTTAACAAACACTTCTAAAAAAAATTCCAAGATTTAATAAATTCAGTTACTTATATGAAATCCAACATTGTATCATAAATAACAAGCTTGGAAATTTTAAAACATCCATCAAAAACACATGTAAAATTCTTTGTAAAGTTAGAGAATACCAATTTGGCACTTTTTAAAAATAAAGAGACATTATTTTGGCAGAACATTCCTAAATATCTCATTTGAGTGAATTTGATAAAAATGTTTATTCTGCCTATTAATGAATAGACTGTTATCAAGTTACTATCCTCCCTGGTTTCTCATTATCCTCTCCTGCATTTAGAAGGGGAGTGATGAGAGAGAAGGAAATTCTTTAAATGCCCAGAAATGAAGATGATACAATAAATTTTATGACTTCTGTTAGAATTCCACTTACTCTTGATGTTACAATCCTCAGTTTAATATATGAAATGTGTCTTCATTCTTAAATCTCTGTCAGGACATAGAGGACATTTTCACATGTATGTCAAAATAAAATTTATCTCTGGAATTCTAGGTTCCTATGACAAATATTAACTCTATTAGTTTTTTTACAGAGAGAACTTTGTAATTCCACAAGCAGCTTTCCTTAAGACATGCAAAAACATTTCTAATTTTTGCCTACCACTGAGGCACTGTAACTGCCTCTCATTATCTTTATATTCATAAAATGTTTTTCCTTTGATATCACATAAAAGTCACTTGGTGCGGTGTTTTATGTACATATTTACGCATTTTTTACTCAAATACCTAACAAATTACATTCCCACACTTCAAATGGGATATTCATGGATTCTTTTATGGTATCAGAATTTCGCAACATCACATATATTGCTCCAAGAAGTTGGATAATTTCTAGAAAGAGCACAAATTCTGCTATTAAAGTTATCCTTAGATAAATAATGTATACAGGCTAATAAAAATTACACAGTTATAGTGATAGTTGTTCAAATTTTAAACATAAATACCCTAGTGCCAGACATTATGTTCCCACTAGTTTATCTCTATCGTAAGGTGAAATTTAAGTATTGTCTTTATTTACGAAGACAGGAAGTTTAAAATTAAGTGTAAAAAAAAAGCGTCAGATGAAATAAAATGGAAGAAATATGAAGAATGCTTATGAAAAATTGATTGTTTTAAAAACACGTAAAAGAGCTAAAGTACTTGCTTTACTAACAGAAGTCAGTCACTATCATTTCCTAAAATGCAAATATCAGAATTATTTTTAACAGGAATGTAGTGGACATTAAGGAAAATAATATTCCAGAATAAAACTATTTGGTTACATATTTTTATGTATTGTTTCTTAATCTAATTAGTTGGAGAAAGAATAGTTGTATAAACAAAATATTTGTATAAACAAAATTTGTATAAAAGAATAAAAATTTTCATGTATTAAATGTATTATGTAATATGTATTAGATTATGTAATATATTAAATTTTTAAGTAAAAATTAAATGTAAAGAATAGATTAACTCTCTAAGTTAGACTGTATGTTTATTACCAATCCTAGAAATAAAGAGTCAATTAAAACTTCTTTATTTCTGAACAATCTTCTAAATGTACTGGTATATACAAAAATTTCATTTGATTCTTTTAACTCCCTGTATGTTTGATACTGAATCTCTATTTTATAATTTAGGAAACAGATGCAAAAAGGTGAATTGCAAGGTCACGGAGCTAGGAAATGGTGGTGCCTTGGCCAGAGCCAAGATTTTAGAACTCTAAACCACATGCACATCACATCCACTGATCAACATGGCTTAAAAATACATCATGACATTGGCAAAGCAAAATAACCTGAAAGTCCTCAAATACTGTTAGTGGTACCCTAAATGCAAAGTTAGAGGACACAAACTTCATTTAAATTCAAAACCACTCCATTTCACTTAAAGCTAATTTACGTATGGGGCGTTATGTCCTTAATAACCTATATAATATTCTCCTGATCACTTTTAAAGACAGGGATATAAGAAAATGATAGATATCCTTGTTATTAAGCAATAAACCATGGAAGGCAAAACTCAAAATAACTGCACAGTCTTTAAAAAAACAATGTAACATACCACAATGTTTCCTTTTAATTTGTTTCATTCCTAAAATATTCATGACTTTGATCTGGTTAGCCTTGATGCCTAAAATCTAGGTTAATTTCTCAAAACTTTTCACAAAAACCACACTTTTGTACTTTATTCCAGTTCCAATATTAAATCCTTATCTCAATTTCATTTCTGACCTCCTCACATTCTACCATTTAAAATATTCCACCCCATTTATTTTAAAGTGCTTGAACAGAGGAATCCTGCTTTGTTATTTATGCTATGAAAATGACTTTTCATCTAAACTGTGAATTAACAGTGTTGATCAGAGTAGCAAAGGAATAAACCTAAAGGTTAAAAATCAAGGAAATAATCTTTCTAAATTACAATTACCTAAATCAGATAATACATAGTCTTTTGAACATTTCTAGAAATTGTACTTCAATGTTCTTACCCTACATAATTCTGAAGCATATATTACCAAATAAACACAGTGAAGTGAAGCCTGGGCCTACAGCTCCACCCCAGTATACTCAGTCAACTGAGGACCTCTAGCGATTTTTAAAATGTACTCCACCTTCAGGTCTTTCAAAAAAAAAAAAAAAAAAAAAGACCATTTCACTTTACATTAGTGGGGGGTTTATATAACTAGCATTCATTTTTCCTTAAAACTTTCCCCCTGCATTCCCTTCCCATATCTTTTCCCCCCAAAGAAGAATCTTAAGTCTCAACTACTACAGGATTAAAAAGAATACTTTAATTGTGAATAAATTAATTTTAACAAAAACAGATAATGAGGACAAGCCTACAGACAAAACAGCAACAGCAATGTGACAATTTCAAAGAGAAAATCTCTCTATGCTATTGTTTAATGAATTTTCCTCAAAGCAGAGCTTTACAGCAAGAAAAACATTTCATTATGGAGTCAATTTAGGGGTTGAGAATATACTGATTTTTATGTTTACACAATTCTTTTCATAACCAGGCAGAAGCAGTGAAGCTTCTTTCAAATAGCCACTGTGGACCAACAAAGTTCTGGAATGTTGCTGCCACAAAGTAACTTGAAATAGAACATCCAAGTTTAATATTAGGCAATCTCAAAAAGAAAATTATTCTACCAAATTGAACTTCTGGATGCCAACAGATTGATAATAAATCTATGATGAACTGTCCTGACTTAATTCAACAAGTCACAAAACATGCACATACAATCACTTCCAGATATCTGTGAAAATGACAGTGATTAGTAAGAAAAAATAAAACCCCCAAGTAATCTTAATATAGATAAGTCCTATACACTCAAATCTATAGAGAATTCTAATCTTCTGAACCAATTAAATGGAAAAAAATTCTAAAAAGTATCTGTTGGACTGCAGTGTTAGATGAGTATTACTTGAGTTTACTAGGAAAATATACCCCCATTTACTAAAAGCAGTCAAAAATAAAAAAGCAAAATTCTGAATTCCATAAAGAATCTCAGGAATTTATGGTTTCAGCAGAGAAAGTACCCCCCAAAACTGAAGTTTAGAAAATTATGCAAAGCACTGAAAGTACTTAAATTATAGGTGAGGACTGCTGCTCACCATATACTGCCATTGTTAAGGTTTCAATTTCCTAGCAAGACATAAAGCAGACCACCAAAGTTTTCCAAAGTCTACTGAGACTGAGGCCTGTTCTGCACAAGAATGCATCTAATATTACATTAAGAAATAGGACTCACTACAAAGTGAGGGCCCTTGTGGAAGCTGATACAGTACCTTCCACCCAAATTTTGCCTACCATGGTACTGTCTTAGTTGAAGGATTAAGAGTTCCCTGTGGTTTGTCTCTTTCGTTCCTCCATTTCAAAAAACAGAATAGGATCTTGAACTTGACAGTATATACTTCCCAATTTCACTTTTTTTGAGCAAATGAGGAAAAGTGGACAACGAAAGACTTTATAAATCCTATAAAGAATAGTATTCTTCTGGGACACCTGAGTGGCTCAGTTGGTTGAGCATCTGCCTTCGGCTCTGGTCATGATCTCAGGGTCCCGGGATCGAGTCCCGCATCGGGCTCCCTGCTCGGCGGGGAGCCTGCTTCTCCCTCTGCCTGCCGCTCCCCCGCTTGTGCTCTCTCTTTCTCTGACAAATAAATAAATAAAATAATTTTTTTAAAAAAGAATAGTATTCTTCCCATTCCTCCAAAAATAATCATAGATCACACAGTATACAAAATACTGTGTGGGTACTTTTCTGCCTCTTACGTGTAACTCATGTAACTCAAGAGACAGGAATATGGCATTTCTACAACCAGATCCCTATCAAAGAATCTTTTGTATTTTCAATATTCTGATTCTACAGCCTGGGTGATGAATTAATTTTTAAAGTGTCTTTACTCCTCCTGTCCCACACAACTAATCTATACATTTCCTTTAAAAGGGAAGGTAGGACTAATTTCTATCTCCATCCCTGCTGGTGCAAGATACAAGTTCAAAACCTCCCAATACAATCTATTTATGATTATCCTAAAAGAATGTTCTATTATCATCAGATAAAATGAATATAAAGTGAAACTACTTTTTCGAGGCTTTCCACCAAATATTACCCTATTAAGAGCTTGCCTCTAAGGAATGGAGGAGAGAAAAAGACCGTAGGAATCGTAAACTCAGAGTATGTTGTTGAGTCCAGAGAAAAGAAGGATGAACACCTGACAACCATGCCATAAACTATGATGTAGTGAAGGTCACAGACAACTCCAAAGATAGAATTGTGCCGTTCCCACACACAGCTTTTCAATTCTCAACATATGACAGGAAGACCCATCTTATATGGATGAATTCTGGCTTAATTATTATCCTTCAGATTTTGGAAGTTCAGTAGAATCAGGACTCAACACATTCCAGAGTTTGCACTGTAAAATAAACTGGGCCCAATAAACTGAAAGCATACAACTAACATTTCATCATGTAAAGCAGATTTGTTTTTAGCATAAGATTATAAAGTGGCTATAAATCAGTTTAGAATAACAACATTTTCTAAGTTTGACAAGAAACAACACTATTTTTGGTTATTGCCTTTATACTCAATTTGTTTCCAGGAACAAACTATCCTTTTTCAGTAATAGTTGGCTGTTGACATATCATGAGATAATCTTTAAAATATATTCATCATCATACTTCCATCAGTAGAGAGTTCATCTCTCTAGGGCGTACCTCTTCATATTTCACAAACACCAAATACCCATCTGTATAAAGCCTCCTTCAGGTTAATGCTGTTAATATTAACAACAATTTATCTAAGCTGTAATCCTCTAAGCCTCATTTCCCTCATCTGTACTAGAGACTTGAGAAGAATACTGGAGATTATGTGTTCAACTATCAAATTCTGTTATTCTAACTGGTTAATCTGTCAGTCCCAGCACTATCTTGATCATTAACAATTTTCTAAAACTATTAAAGTAAATCATAAGAGCCCCTTATTCAGCTTCACTGATTTATTCAAATAGTAACAACTATGTACTGAATACTAGAATACAAAATAAATATGTAGAGTTCCTTACACTCATGAACTAGAAGTCTACCTGGGGACAAGGACATGTGAATCAAAATTATAGCACAGCCTGATAACTCTCCTGATATAGGTAACACTAAAGCCCCAGTAAAAACCAGCAGAGGTGATAACCAATTTTACCTTAATGAGTAATGGAAAGTTTCATTAGGAAGTGATATTTAAACTGGGCCTTAAGGATCAACTGAAGTTTGCCTGGCAAAGAATCAAAGGTAGAGCGGGGGGGTGGGGGGGTGGGGGGGGTGGAGGGTAGACATTCCAGGCAGAGCCAGAACAACATGTGCAAAAGACAGAATCAAAAAAGGCAATGAAGTATTTATGGAAAGGTGACATGTTTCATGTGACTGAAGTCCCACTCATCAAAGTGTCAGGGTAGGGAATGACTCTTGCATATATGCTTCATGATGAACAACTAGCCAGCTTCCTCCTTTCCCATGTTTTTTCTCAAAGTAATTTTTAAAATCAGAACTAGTAGACCATTTAAGTCACGAAACTTCATGAAAATTTAAGTTCTAATAGGAATGACCAATGCTAGTTCTTATTCCTTTCTTAACTATTCTGTTATACATTCTCACATAAACAACTAGTCAAATACATAAAAGAATGAATAATAGGGATCTTCCCCACATTTAACCAATAATATAAATTCATTATATCTATAATATGCAAATATAAGCAGAAAAAAACATAAAGGATGCATTTTTTAAAAGAACAAAATTTAAAAAGGCTTTATTTCTACAGAATTTTATCTGAGGAATTCAAACAAAAGTAATTAAATTAAATAAATACACTCAAGCTGCCATCTACCAAGTAGAAGGGGTCTTATAAATTAACAGCCACTTGTGTTGGACAATGAAGAATATATGCTACAGACATACACATGCTAGGGAAACACAGGTTGTTACCAATTCTTTAAGAGAATGAAGTTTGATGTTAAGTTAGCTATTTGGATTTCCTCACTACACATCAAAATAGGAAGGAGGCCAGTCTCTCCAGCCAAATGAAAGCCCAGTCTAGTATATAACTCAAACCTAATAGAGCCAAACTGAGGTACCATTTACCAGAGGGTTTCTTTGTAAACCTAAATTCCTAGTTCTCACTGATCATGCCTGAGAGACATCTTCCCTCTCCCATTCTTTCAGTTCTCCCCTCTGTCTCTTCAGCACTAGCCTCTCTCAGAAATGGAGCTGACCACTTGAGCTGGGCTTTCATGGAATGTGTAGAGATTAGGGAGAAAATGAAATCTGGATGCTGGGATAGGTGGTAATATCTTGATCAACAATGATATATCAACAAATGTTAACACCCATTATCTCCGGGCAATTAATTATGGGCTTTTTTTTAATTCCACTTCTAATTTTTATTTCAAAATTTATATAGAAATATCCTAATTGACAACAAAATATCCCTAAATCTTAGTAACTATTATCTCTAGATGCTTAACTTACAGTTAATTTCTAATCTCTAATTTTTCTATAATAATGCATTGTTTTATTTTTGTTTCACTCATTAGGCAGAATAACTTACGGAAGCTCTGAAAGAAAGCAAATGAAAACCACTGCTCTTGAGTACAGGTCATTTCTAAATAGGAACTATCTGTGGTACACAGTGAGATAATGATAATTTTTTAAAGACCGATTTTAGAGAGAGGAAGAGAGAGTGTGCGCGTGCATGCGCACAAAGGGGAGGGGCAGAGGGAGAGAGAAACTTAAGCAGACTCCGTGCTGAGCGTGGAGCCTGATGGGGCGGCTGGATCTCATGACCCTGAGGATCACGATCTGAGCCGAAACCAAGAGTGGGATGCTTAACCGACCACGCCACTGAGGCACCCCAAGATGATGATAATTTTATTACTATGCTTTCTGGGCCTGACAGTCTTTAGTACTTAATATCCAGTCTTGTTAAAATGTTACTCAAAAGAGCATATTCTACAAAGCTATAAAATCATAAAAAGGAATGAGAAACATTTGAATCTATAGTTCTGGTAAAATACTTCTCATTTAACTTTTATTTTGGACTAAAATCAACATCTGGAAAATAATTTCTTACACGCATTTGTTTTTATGAGATTTTCTCTGAAGCTATTAATACACTAATGTTCACAATTATGCTCACACAGAAATAGTCTTTATGAAACTATATGAGAGAAGTTTTGCTCAAAGGAATAGTCCAAAATGAGCTGCACCCTAAACCAAACTATACTTCTAGTCATTTTGAGAGGAGGAGGCAAAGACTGAAGTTCTTACACTCAAAACACAAGACAAAAAAGACATCACAGTGATCCTCATGAAAAAAGACTACAGAGGTATTTGATGTCATAAATACAAATAATATTGAGGAAGATGAATTAATACAAAATTGTGTTTTTTACCTGTTCAGAGAATAGGTTACACACATGATACTAATCCATTCGCTATTTTTACATTCCAGGCTATCCAAAAGAAGAGAGTGACTGAGCTCACATTTGACTGTCAGCTTTTTACCTTTCTCTTCACCATTTAAAACTTGAGACTTCCTGTTTTCCTGGGGTCATGGAGAAAGTCCAATACCTCACTCGCTCTGCTATAAGAAGAGCTTCAACCATTGAAATGCCTCAACAAGCACGTCAAAATCTCCAGAACCTATTTATAAATTTCTGTCTCATTTTAATATGTCTCTTGTTGATCTGCATCATTGTGATGCTTCTCTGAAGTTCTGCTGCAATCTCCAGTGATGCAACTTGTGACCATCAGCTTAAAATCTGCCATCCCATGAAGAAGGGAAAAAAATACTACATAACAGACCACTTCCTAAGTAGAAGAATTTCTTTGTGAAAAGGTCAAGATTCAGGACAAAACTAATTGTTAGCAAATATATTCATCTGCGGGATCTTGTAAACATGAAAAGAGCTTTATTTTCAAAAATTAACTTCAAAATGACTGTAAGTGTGCATAATGTAACTTGAATTCAGAAACTTACAGAGCTTGTAAGTTTCTATCCCAAATCTTTTCTGAGGATAATGTAGGCTTTAGTTTTGAAACTGCACTGCTAACCAGTTCACTTCACGTATAAAGCATTAGCTTCACTATTTGGGGTAAATATAATTTACATTGTACTGTAAAAGCCTCCGTGATGTTTATTAAATATTTTTCAGGTCTTCACCAAGTACCAATATAATCATTCAAATGAACAGTCATCATTTGAAATAGCCTACTGATTCCTCACATCTGTTATCTTTATTATTATCATTCAGAACTCTTTGTAGTAACTCACATAACCTACATTTTAAAATAGAAATTGTATTCTTTCTCTGTACTACACTAACATTTTTTTAAAGTTTAAGAGAACCAAATAAGAAAAAGTAAGGCCATACTCTTATATAAATAAAATTTCTCTTAACTAATTTTTTCAAAGAATTACAGAATGCTAGTATATGAAGGCAAACCATAAATGTGTTCTCTGTAGTACATTATGATCAATAGACAAGAACTACTGGTTAATTTAACAGGTGACAATATGATTAGCCATAATTACTAATACACTAGTAGAACAGAGTCTACCCTAACTTAAAGCGCTGTAGTTGATCATCTAAGTAGATAACCTACCACACTATGTCTTTGAAATCATGAAATCTTAAGACTTTAGAATGATTTTATAGATTGTCATCTATTCTTAACCTCATCCTCAATATAGGCAAGGAGAAGAATTTCAAAAATAATAAAAAGAAAATATGCCCTTTCAAGCATTAAAAAAAAATAAAATTGGGGGCTCCCCAAAATTAATTCTTTGATCACATTTTGACAGGAACTTTTTATCCTACGGTTTATAAGAGGACATAGCTATTTTCCTTAATCTGTCAACCAAATGGTCAATACCTACTTGGTAGGCCATTCTATCATGCTAAATTATAAACCCAGCAAAGTTAATCTACAATTATTTTCTTGCTGAATATATTTTCAATTTCCCCTCTGATCACTTAAAAATATCTTCCAACTCATAACAGAAGTAAAACTTGGTACTGGAAAATACATTCACCAAAATTTGTTAATTTAACTTGATTCAGTTTAGAATTAGGCCTAAAGTGGTTTATACCTGTACTGCAGAGTCCAATAATTTTAACTTCAATTCAAGACATATTACTAATACAGCAGTTACTAAAAGAGTAGAGGACACATAATTTACTGTATGATTTGCTAAAATGTGGTTACTAAAAGAATTTGAAAAGTCAGTACTGATCTTGGTTTATAGCACAAGTGTGGCTAACAGATTAGTAAAGGAGACACTGCTTTTAATTTTTTCTGGGTACCTGACAGGTACCGGAGATGGGGAAGGGGATAGTTTTGATTCACTGATATTTGAGGAACAGAGGAAAAAGGATTTCATACTGACAGGGAGATTTCAGCAAAGCCTCATCTATGGGTTGGAGATCCCTAATATCAACTAGAAAGCTTATAAATAATAAGCAATACATTCACATCACTGGTCTCAGTAATTACTTGTGAAAAAGTACCAAGTTCTATAATTAGCTGCACTGATGTTAATAAGTGGGAAACTTGAAATGCTAAATTCCGTTCCTTTCATTGTGTTGTTCATTATTACAATATAGACATCAAACTATAAAATGTGAAGTTATGGGGTATTTCCCTAAGTAAATAGAAATAAGTTTTTTGTTTTTTCATGCTGACTTTAATAGAAATTAAAACCTTTTTCTTGAGGATTACAGAATACTGAAACTCATTATAATGTAGAACAAAAACCTATTCTTTAAATGGAATTTATTTATTCTGTTTATCATGATATGTAAACAGTAAGATATAATAAAACAATGTATTTAAAATTTTTAAATACCAAATGTTCTTTCTACTGTAGAATAAATTTTAATCTTAATTTACAGAGTACTAAAAATGAACTAATTTTTAAATGTTTAATGTTGCCCTTTATATTTTAGTTGGTTCAAAATGTTTATTTAATGTAAATCACCTATATTAAAAAGAACCTTCTTGAACTCAGTGAAATCGCTCTTTAATACAACTCATGATTGATACGGCCATAAAACAATTTATAAGCAGTTTTGCATTGGTAGATTGTTTTCAATGACTTTTCTCAAAAGAAGATCAACATTTCCTCATATAGACACAAGAGGGCAGACCTACATAAAATAATGAATTTTCTACTATTTAGATTTTATTTCTCCTTTGATTATTTTTTATTCTGGCAAAGTGAGAAAATGATAAGTTTTAAAAAAAATTTGCCCTTCTGCTAAGTAACAGCACAACTTTAAGATGTATAAAGTTATATGCCAATACTATGTAGAAAATAAGGTTAAAAAAAGTCAAACACATTACTAATTTATTAAAGCATGTATACAAAAACCAATTATATGCTGGGGCGCCTGGGTCGCTCAGTTGTTGGGCATCTGCCTTCGGCTCGGGTCGTGGTCCCAGGGTCCGGGGATCGAGCCCCGCATCGGGCTCCCTACTCGGCGGGAAGCCTGCTTCTCCCTCTCCCTCTCCCCCTGCTTGTGTTCCCTCTCTCGCTGTGTCTTTCTCTGTCAAATAAATAAATAAAATCTTAAAAAAAACCAACAACCAATTATATGCTTTTTAGCTACTGAGTGAATGTGTCATGTCACATCCTATCTATTTAGAGTGCCATAGGGTTCACATCTTTCAGTGCAGTTATATCTTCTTAAACAGTAAAAAAAAAACAAAAAAAAACAAAAATAAGAAAACTGTTTCTTTTCAGGTATGCAATAGAATACATAAAACACTCTCATGTTAAAAATAAAACTTTTTCATTCTTTTATCATGTTAAACAAAAACCAAGTCATTTAAGTCATTTTATCAAATTTTTATTCACATTTTTTATTTATATAAATTTTTCAGCAAAATATGCTGAAATCATTAGGTGCCAGTATTTTGGCTGATCAAGCCCTGTCATGATTTAAATGGAGTACAAATTTTTTTTTTTTAAAGATTTTATTTATTTATTTATTTGACAGAGAGAGACACAGCGAGAGAGGGAACACAAGCAGGGGGAGTGGGAGAGGGAGAAGGAGGCTCCCCGCAGAGCAGGGAGCCCGATGCAGGACTCGATCCCAGGACCGTGGGATCGTGACCTGAGATGAAGGCAGTCGCTTAACCAACTGAGCCACCCAGGCGCCCTGGGGTACAAAATTTTATCTTCCTCTTTTTAAAATGATTGCAACACAGAATTAGGAACATCCTAAGGAATGTAAGAGGAAAGAAGATAAACTTCATCAATAAACAGACCATTTCTTGACTACTGCCTGAGAGATGCACTGTGAGCATCTCATCCCTTCCCCTGTTCCCCCACCCCCCAGGAAAGAAAGAAAAGAGGGACATGGTAAGGGATATATTCTTTCCAAAGAAAAGACAAGGCTCTGTCATTTGTCTTTCTCTTCTGTCATAGTCCTTGTAGGGTCAGAGTGCTTTTGGGGAGGGTGGGAGGAGAGGGGTGACATAGAACAGGAAAGACCCAAAGACAGTTTGCACATGGAGGTCTATATTCTAACCACCTGAAGGCATAGATGGCCTCTCTTCACTCACAAAGGAAAATGTTTCAGAGTACTACACTACCTGCATTCTAGCTGAGTTAGTAGGAAATCATGGGAATCAAGGAACAGCATGAGCATGACACTGTGAGGCTGACTCAATGATTATTCCTAAGAAGAGCAAAACTTCCACATTACAATATTAACCTTTGGAGGGAGAAAAGCAGGGAAAGAACTGTGCAGATCAAATGAGATAAAACACTCTCGAGAGCTACAAAGTTCTATATAAATCTATGGTGGTGTTAGATTGTGACTCTCTGCCAATTTCCTTTCCTTGGTTGTAAAAAGAGAGGTTTCTTTTATGGTGACAGTTTAGGAGTTGTGCTTGAAAATCATACACATTGAAAATCATACACATTCTCACAATTTATCAGACAGGCTGATCCTTATTATGGCTCTTCCCTTTATGGAAATTAGACTAAACGGAAGTCAATTCTTTAAAGTCTTTTAAGAAACAACCAAGCTGGGGATGCCTGGGTGACTCAATTGGTTAAACATCTGCCTTCGGCTCGGGTCGTGATCCCATGATCCCGGGATCAAGCCCCGCATCAGGCTCCCTGCTCAGCGAAGAGCCTGCTTCTCCCTCTCCCTCTGCCTGCTGCTCTGCCTACTTGTGCTCTCTATCTCTCTGTCAAATAAATAAAATCTTTAAAAAAAAAGAAAAGAAACAACCAAGATGAGAACTTTTATAATAAAGACAGCACTTGGAGGCTCCAAGGAGAAGGTATTCAAGAACTGTTTTCTGTAATAGTACAAGAAGGGAATGAGAAGAGAACGGACCATTAAAACTTAGACATGAAGAGTCTAAGTTTTCTTTACCTGGTTTCATCTTTCTAATACAACACTTAGGAGCACTACAAAGAGACCATCCCAAATACGGTTCATCAAAAAGCAGGACAACCCAGGGTGTGTGCAAATGTCCTCTAGTAGCCTTCTTCCTCTACCATGTACTAGGGAGAAGATTTAAAAATAAGTTTGGCTCTACAGTACACCTCCAAGCTTCCTATTCTCTTTGCATTGTTTCAAGGTTGGGAAAAACTTCAAAGCACAGGGTTTTCCAAGCAGAATGAAAGAAGTAACTTAGTACTTATTCTTTTAAATTCATTCAATTTTCTCAGTTACCTTTCTATCACACCTTCAGGTTGGAATAGTATTACTCAGCACCCCATGGACAACTACAATTCTGTGCAAAAATACCAACTGGAGAAATAACCACCTGATCCCTGGTCTCATATAATCACAAAGCATTTGAGAACTAAAATAGAATAGTATTTTAAAAATTAGGTTTCCGGGGTGCCTGGGTGGCTCAGTTGGTTAGGCATCTGCCTCCGGCTCAGGTCATGATCCCAGGGTCCTGGGATCGAGTCCTGCATCAGGCTCCCTGCTCAGCAGGGAGTCTGTTTCTCCCTCTCACTCTCCCTCTATGCTCTCTCTCTCAAATAAATAAAATCTTTAAAAAAATTATAAAAATTAGGTTTCCTATCTTTCAATCACTTGAACTGATAAATCAGAAATCTGGTTAAACTGCTCTTTTCTGATTTGTAATTCAAACATCACAATAATGGTTCTTTTTGGTTATGTACTTTTTATATATAATCAAGATTGTTTAGTACTGTGCCCAAACAAGAATAAGGAAGGCACATGGGATGTGTTAAGGATTCCCCTGTAAATGTAGCACATTCAGGTGTGTGTATGTTTTGGGACTCAGATTTGTGAGGTTTCCAGATAAGTGATCTCCTTATCCTTTAATAGGATATATTCCTTTAATCTTTACTATTTTTTATTAGTAGCAGTAATAAATAGTAATTTAAGTGTTTTCTCTAAGGGAAATTTTACAATTTCTGATAGAATTAATGAGTTTCAGAAAATTCTGGTAATAAAAAATGGATGATAGGATTTACAAAAAATTCTATAGCTAATTGCTTTCCCACTTAAAATGAGCTGTGGAAATTATCCTGGAATAGAAAACATTTCCAGATCAAGAAATGTACACATTTACATGTTACTTTAGGGGATACACACCACTTTTATTTATATGTGGTATTTTATAAAGTGCTTTCCTCAAACTGATTAATAAATTTTTTTTTTTTAAGATTTCATTTATTTGACAGAGAGAGAGGGCGAGCACACAAACAGGGGGAGGAGCAGGTAGAGGGACAGGGAGAAGCAGGCTCCCCACTGAGCAGGGAGCCCGACGTGGGGCTTGATCCCAGGACCCTAAGATCATGACCTGAGCTGAAGGCAGATGCTTAACCGACTGAGCCACCCAGGCACCCCCTGACCCAACTTAATCTTTTTAAAATAAGCACATATCTGCTTATAAACCTAAATACATTTCAAACACCACCTGACTTTAGTTCCACCTTCTCATTTCATATATGAAGAAATGAGAAGACATGCAGATGGCCAGCAGACACATGATAGGTGCTCAACATCACTTTCAGGGAAACGCAAATCAAAACCACAATGAGCTATCACCTCACATCTGTTAGAATGGTCATTAGCAAAAAGACAAGAGATAACAAGTATTGGCGAGGATGTGGAGAAAAGACAACCCTTGTGCATTGTAGGTGGGAATGTAAATTGGTGCAGCCACTATTGAAAACAGTATGAGGGGGTTCCTCAAAAAATTAAAAATAATACTACCATATGATCCAGCAGTTCCCCTTCCGGATATTTATCTGAAAAAAATGAAAACACTAACCCAAAAAGATATACGCACTCCAATGTCCACTGGAGCACTATTTACAATAGTTAGGACATGAAAGCAACCTAAGTACCCACTGATGAATGAATGAACAAATAAAATGTGGTATATATACAATGGAATATTATTCAGTTGTAACAAAATGAAATCTTGCCATTTGTGACATTATGAATATATCTTGAGGGCATTATGATAAGTGAAAGAAGTCAAAGACAAATACTGTATCATCTCATTTATATGTAGAATCTTAAAAGAAAGAAAAAAATCACAGAGAACTGATGGGTGGTTGCCAGGGGCTGGGGGTGGGGAAAATGGGTGAAGTCAAAAGATACTAACTTCCAAGTCATGAGGATGTACCGTACAGCATGATGACTATAGCTGATAATACTGTACTATATATTTGAAAGTTGCTAAGAGACAAAATTTTACAAGTTATCACAAGGAAAAAAAAAATTTGAAACTATATGGTGATGGACATTAACCAGACCAGACTTAGACTTATTGTGGTGATCATTTCACAAAACATATATATATCAAGTCATTATGTTGTAGAACTGGAACTAATGTAATGTTATATGTTAATTATATATCGATAAAAAAAAAAAAAAGAAAAAAGAAACTTGAGGCCCAGATAGAAAATCATCCAGGTTCTGAATCTGATAGAAACAAAATCCAAGCCCCCATACTCCCAAGTTAATGTTCTATTATACCATGCCAGTTCCTTTGTCTGTTTCACATTTCTTTAAACTGAATATGTGTTGCTTTGTTTATCTTTATGCTCACTTAA